TATCAGATGGTTTCCATGCAAAGATATCTTTATTATTTTGAAGAAAGGTGATGAACGCGCTTTCCTATTTACAATCTAACTCAGTGCCTATTATAGCAGTCTTAGTAGGATCAGAGGGATCTAGAGGAATCTTCTTGGTCTTGGCGTCGTTTTCTCCGCTCTTTGGCATCTTGGTTGCAGGCACTTCTCCTTCGCTTGCTGTGGACGCAGCCAGTCGGGTTTCTTCTCGGGCGAGCGTGATCTCACGGGTCTGGGCCATCTCGCAGCTTTCCTTGTCACACGTGACGGCTTGCTTGATGTCACTCCACAGGGATATGACTCCTCGAGGACCCGGCATCTTCATCATCATGTAGGTGTAGTGCGGGACGGCCATGAACTTGGCTAACGCCGGGCGTCCGAGTATGGCATAATACGCTGTCTCGAAATCAGCGACTTCGAAACAAATGTTCTCTGTGCGGAAGTTCTCTCGAGTGCCGAAAGTAACCGGAAGAGTGATCTGGCCGAGTGGTGTAGCAGATAGCCCGAGGATGACTCCGTGAAAGGGCGCATTACTCGGCTTTAATTCCGTGCGAGGGATCTGCATGTCGTCTAGAGTCTTGGTGAAAAGAATGTTGAGTGCATTGCCACCATCAATGAGGGATCGGCGAAGCTTGACGTTGCGATCCATTGGGTGTAGTACCTGGGGGTACCGCCCTGGGTGGACCACTCGGTCAGGATGATCCGAGCGGTCAAACTTAATTGTTGTCTCTGACCACTGAAGATATTGGGGCGTGTTAGGCTGAACAGCATTGATCTCCCGTTCGATCAGCTTTTGCTTTCTCTTGGATTCATAAGCCAGGGGTCCGCCAAAGATGTGGTTGAGTTCCTTGCGATGATCTTGAAAATCAGTCGGGGCATCATCTTCATCATCCTTCTTCTTTGACGTGCCTTGATCTCCGTCAGTGGTCTTGCATGCGTTCTTGGCGTATTGTTCTGCAAACTGTTTGTAAACGAAGCAATCTTTGGCTGCATGATTGGAATTTGGATGATGCGGACTTTGGGAGTTCATGATCTTGTCGAAGGTATTGACGCACGAACGTTGTCGGGAGGATGGTATAGTGGTTGCCACAAGTTCCTCAGGCTTACGCTTGCGATCCTTGTGATTGGTACTTCCACTCCCTCCCGTGGTCGGCGTATCTTTCTTCGGCTTCCAAGTGGTGCCCGACTGCTTAGATGCGGTGACGGCATCTTCGGCTTTTGCATACTCATTGGCTTTTTCGAACATCTGCTTGACCGTCCTGGGAGGCTTGCGTCCAAACTTGCCGACTAAGAGCTTGTGGCGAATGCCCTTGGTGAAGGCAGCGATGATGACGTTGTTGGTGATGTCGGAGATCTTGTTGTGTTGCTCGGAAAAGCGTCGGATGTAATCTCGAAGGGATTCTCTAGACTTCTGAACAACGTTGTAGAGGTCAAACTGTGTACCAGGGCGTTCAAAGATACCCTAGAAGTTGGCGATGAAGTGGTCGCGAAGTTCCGCCTAAGATCCGATTGTGCCACGGGGTAACCCGTGAAGCCAGCACCGGGCAGAGTCCGCTAGGGCCACAGGCAAATAGTTTGCCATGGCTTTGCTGTCTCCTCCTACTGCGTGAATTGCGAGACCGTAGATGGTGAGCCAAGACTCCGGGTTAGTGGTGCCGTCATACTTCTCGATTCCAGTCGGCTTGAAGCTGGCAGGCCAATCCACTCGACGTAGGTCGCTTGTGAAGGCAGCAACTCCATCCACGTCGTTGTCGTAGCGATCTGGTGAATGGTGGGGAACGTAGCCTCTTGCCGCGCGGCGCTGGTTGATAGTATCGCGAAGATCGACAGGGCGCCTGCAATGTGGGGAGCGAGGTCGTTCAACTCGACGCTCCCTGTGTCGTTCGGGAGGCGAGTGGACAGATCACTCGTTGTGACCCCTACTCCTGCGACTGGATCCCGCGCCGATGACGCTGAGGCTTGGTTGGTGATAGTCTTGAGATCGAAGAGGGGGAACTCGGCTGCTAGTCGGCGTGCGGACGCTTGCAGAGTTAACCGGGACCGAGGCGGCAATCATGGTCTTGGTCTGGTTCAAGATGTTGACGACGTGATTGGCTTGATTGAGTGCGTCTTCCTTGAGGAGGGTGTCGAGGAGGGTGATCACTGCAACCGCGTTCTGTTGAGGGGTGCGAAAAACCGCCGTTCCCTCGATGTCTTGCTGCCCGATAAGTTCTCGTGCTCATCGCCCGGCATCCAAGGCGCGCTGTCGCCGGTCCTCAGCCTCTTTTGCAGCCCGTTCGCGCTCCTGTTGCTCACGCTGTAACCGTTCTCGCTCTTGTGCTTGGCGCTCCTCTTCCAGTCGACGTCGTTCGGCTTCTTGTTGCATGCGTTGTTCTTCCGCTTCTCGGGCTTTACGTTGTTCTTCCGTCTCGTTGTCAGCCATGAAGATGCCGAAGTAGAGAGGCGTGTAGCTATCTTCAAAAATCTTCGTCGAAGTCGTCGAGGTTGCGGTAGTCGTAGCGGTAGCCGAAGTTGTCGTACTCAATGATCTCCGTTGGCCGTGAGTCGACGCCGGGGGAGCTGAGGTAGCCATCCAGTTGTTCCGTTGAAACCATGTCGAGAGGCTGGAGTATGACGCCGACTTCCCTGGAGCTAGGCTGGGTTGGGGCCGAGGCCGGATCCCGCCTAGACCTACGGGGAGAAGACGCCCTTGTGGTGAAGACAGCAGCCAAATCATCAGGGAGTTTCATCAGGATTAGCAGATAGGCCCCATCGTCTTGATCGGGTCGTGTTGTAGTAGATTGGATCTCGTCCGAGTGGTTTGAAGCCAACTCGGTGGAGATGATCTTGGGGTAGATCTCGGCCGAGTTCGGGATACCGAATGGAGCGGAGATCTGGCCTCTTCCCGACTAGTTCGAATCTGAGTCGAGGAGAGAAATCTTGCCGAAGTCGTTGGTGATGAAGTCGAGGCTGCCGAACCGGAACGCCTGCCCGGGAGGGAAGACGAAGTCGTCGATGCCGGAGACGAAACCTATTGCACTAGTAGGCGAAGAACTTGACGCTACCCCTACTTCGCGCATCAACTGTCGAAACAAGATTTCGGCAATACTAAAAGGGGGTGGCTATCAAGCTGGAAAAGTGGATGGGTTTAGAGACAAGGAATTTTATACAGGTTCAGGCCTTCTTAATCAAGAAGTAATACCCTACTCCTGTCTGGGGATTGATCCGCCGAGTGTATTATTGATCGTATGATCTGGGAGAAAATCGTGCCCCTAGAGGCACCCGGATCCCTCCTTATATAGGGAAAGGGATCCGTATTACAAAGTACAGTCCATATCCCTAGCAAAATAGGTAGTTACAGATAAGATACAATCGTAACCGACTAGGATCCCGGGTATTTCCTTGACATACAAGTTTAGAACTTAACCCGGGTCCTTTTAAAGATATTTTATCTATATATGACACCCCATACCCAGTCGGACTATACATGCCGTGTAGGTATGGGGTATACATAATCTCCACACTTATCTGCTTGAATCTTTGGAACAGAGACATTACATTTTTGTGATGCTAAATTAAGGTGTTGCAGCATGATCGAGCTAGATTACATCACTGAGATGAAGACGGTCAACGTCGCCGTCGAGAGGGCGTTCGACGTCGAGGTCGTCGGCGAGAATGGCCGGAGCGGCAGCGCCGCCACCGCGCCAAGATTCGTGCCGGGGCTCACCGCGTCCATCAGCGGTGGGCTCCCAGTGAAGATCAGACGCGTTTAGACTTGCACACAGCTACACTACAATAGCAACCCTAAAAGTCTTTTTATATAAGTATTGCATTTAATATGCGTTGCCTATGTTGCCGTTGCTAGGATCAATTACAACACATACACAACCGTTGGTAATAAGTGGGAATAACCGTTGCTACTTAGCAACAATTTTAATAGGTTTCAACAATATCTATATATGTTGTTACTGTGAGAGATGAATAGTTTTATATAATCTTAGCAATAAATATAATAAAGTTGCTCTAACACGTACAAATATTGTAATTTGAGCTATCCCCTGTAGGTGGCCTTTGACCAATTATTTTGTTGGGCAAGAGACCCATGAACTCAAAGCATGCATAAGTGACAATAGCCCAATCAATCATGATAATTAATTTTAAATTAAAGATAGTATTTTGCATTACATAGACAATCATCAACATAATTCATGTCATTAAACCTTGTTCAGAACATTAATGAAGAAAATAGAATCTAAAATATATACATAAAACACATCTTGTTGCCACCATTCTCCACCTTGCAGCCATCATCATGGCGTGACATGTACAGGTGACCTAATTAATTACGTACTGGCAGTCACGAAATTTCCCCCACATCATCATCCATTTATCTTGTCAACATATAATAGCGAAAAAAGTTATAAGCATTGATGTGCATCTTGCATGAAAGTGTGTCTTTGTGTGACTGTGAGTCACCATTATCCTTTTTCTAAAACAAATGATATACTGGTGTCTTTGAGCTGAGATCAACCAAGAGGCTACTAGCTTAGCTAGAGAGAATGTTTGATTTGCTCCACACTTCTGAGTTCTGAGTGGATAGGAAGTCTCTTTTTGTATGATCCATTGCCTTTTGCTATTCAATAATTGGTTGATTGTACCATCCGAAAATCAAGTGGCGAATGGATTTCATTTGTCGAGTATAAATTTCTGCAGATTTTGCTGATGAATTTTTTCTATGAATCGATCAAATTAAAACTCTGTCGAAAACGCATCTTATTTGTTGAGCAGTGAGCACTACACATTGTCGCCAAAAAAAGAAGTCGAAAATTTTGCCGCCAACGCACTAGTAAAGCTTAAGGCCAGGTTCGTGGCTGTCGTGTGGACCCTGTATTAGTTGGGCCTCAACAGTATTGTGGGCTTGTGGCCTACGTGCGGGTCCATGATTTGCCTGGGCCGGACAGCATTGAGACTGACAAGCGGGCCTACTACAGTTGATCCGAATCATTCGTATCTGGCTTGTGATTGACACAGCCCATCATGATCTATATCAACAGTATCGTAAATTCAGCCATTTTTGTGATGCAACTTACTTATCTGCATGAATCTTTGGAACAGAGACATTACATTTTTGTGATGCTAAATTAAGGTGTTTCAGCATGATCGAGCACGAGCTAGACAACGATGATGCCAAGCAGCAGCGACACCATGGCGACAAGTAGAGAGGAGCTGAGATTTGCTGAAGACCTCGACGCTGCGCCGTACGAGATAACGCCGGGTGTCATGATGACCGTCGGCGGGCCGCCGGAGCAGATGGTGATGCCCGGCGACGGCGCTCCGGGCGGCGCTGGCGCCAGAGACGGCGACGGCAACGTGTTGTTGCACCCGGCGCCGGCGTCCGTGACCCTGACCTGCAGCTTCATCCCGGCGGCGCAGCGCCCCTCCACGCCGTAGATGAAGTAGCGCCACCCGGCGGCGCTGTCGAGCCGGACGACGTCGTTGCCGGTCCGGAGCGCGGCGGAGACGGGGCTCGCCGCCGAGCAGGAGAGGTACCCGGCGCGGGTCACCTCCACGACGTCGTACGCCGACGCGTCGTACCTGAACACGAGCTGGTCGCCACGGCGGAGGTCGACGGTGGAAGCCCAGGCGGTGAGGTTGGTCTGCGTGTCCCACCCGCCGCCGGGCTCGCCGACGGTGTAGCTGGCGCCGGACGCGGCTCCGACGAACACGGTCGCCGCCGCCGCCATGACCACCGCGACCGCGGCGAGCAGAGACGACGCCAACGATCTTGAATGAATTAAGATGATGAGATATAATTTGCACTTGAGATTTGATGGTCGAGTAATTGTGCATGGAGGTGAATATATAGGGGTAGAAGAAATGGAGTGTATGTGCAAGCTAGTATGACCTTGTCTATTAGCTTAGCTTAACTAATTGGCGTTTGTTGGCATGATTAAACGTGTGGATCAAATTACATCATTAAGTACTCAAAGTTAATTTGTAGCAGGTGGCGCCTATAGTACACCAGTTCTAAGTTTTAAAATATACATATCCGTTTTTTTTAGCGTACGATGGCGTTGAATTGTTATCATTCGTCTTATTTAATATTTTTGTTAATATAAAAAATATTTCAATCATTCTTAAAAATATTTGGGGCCTGTTCACTTTGATGTCATTTTCAACCTTACCTTTTTTGGTAAAGTTGCAAAAAAATGTCTACGTTTAGTTTATTATCAAATTTGATCAACGCATAAGAAATCATGCTAAAATTTTAGTAATATTGTCATCTTGCTAAAATTTTGACATTGCCATAAAATTTATTTTTTCTATAATCTGAATAGGCCCTTGATGTTAAATCAAGTCACAGTAAAATAAATATTTTTTACATAATTTTTCTTAATAAGATGAATGGTTAAATATATTTTAAAAATTGACAACGACGTTATACATTTAAAAAAGAGATAGTAGTAATCTAAAATTGAATTCCAGATTCTCTGCTAGTACGATATATCCATATAGTACTATGTATAAATTAATTAAACACAATAGTAAGATCGACTTGGTCTCACTTAGCTAGTCGCGTAATGAAGATTTAGGTAAAGAACTCGCCTTCCAGCTACCATTTTGAGGTTTGACGTCAAGGTGAGGAGCTGACACCGTGGGGCGCTGGCCCCACGCGTCAGCGAGTGAGGGAGGGGAAGATGAGGGTGGGCTGGAACTTCGGGAATTTTTTTCATTTTTAGATTTTTTTTTAAAAAATATTTACAGAAATAATCTATCGGCCAAAAAAATTACAAAAATAGACCCTGCCGCCCACCAGTTGGTCGGCAAGCTGACGTGGCAAACGGGGGAGGGACGGGTGGTGACGGAGGGAGGATTTTTTTGCAGGAAAACCCTTCCCGCCCTCTGTTGGGGCGGCAAGGGGCCCCAATGCAAAAAAGCCAGCCGGGGCCGGCCATTTTGCAGGTGGCCCCTTGCCGCCCTCTGGCCGGGCGGCAGGCCTCGCTGCCTATAAAAGACCTGCCGCCCAGCCCCCAGCCCTCATTCCTCCCCCCACAAATCCATAAAAAAAAGAAGAAAGGGGAGGAGAAGAGAAGAAGGGGCGAAGCCCTGCCGGATTCACACGCCGATTTCAGGTAATATTCATAGATCCTATACGTGACTATTGAGTTAAATACTTGTTAACAGTGAAATTTGGTAAGCCCAAAGTTATCATCGGTTTAGAGTCAGTATCGGCTTCAAAGTTCTAGAATCAGCCGATGGGAGTCAAGTCGCCACGATGTCGTGTTCTTGGTGGAGTCGGATCAATCAAAGGAAGCTTATCTAGAAGAGTTCGAGTTCAAGAAGGATGCAACATGACAGTTATCTATTAATTAGGCATAGTTTGTTAGTTTCCTTTTATCTTTAGGAAAGTGTGTTTAGTGTCCGATAAGGACTTTATCTTTTCCTTTTTAGTTTCTTTCTTGTCTGACAAGGACTAGTATCTCCCTATGGGTATAAATATGTACACCTGGGGTCATTGTAATCTATCACTCTCGATCAATAATACTCTCGGCGCATCGCCACCCTCTTTCCCGAGGTTTTTACTTATCTTCCGGCAGGATTTGGGCACCTGACGCGGGGCTGCATCGGTTCAGTTCGATCTCCAGCGAAGGGGTAAGTCCTACATTCCGTCGGACCCTGGTGAATCTGTCATCTACGTCGGCATCGTTCAAGGCTGCATCGTTTCGATCACTTGGATCGCTCTGGTTTGGTTGATTGATTTGCCTACCTGATATCTCAAGTCTATCTCTAATTCCATTGTGTTTAGAGACGCATCGGTTTAGTTGGGACTGTCTCGGTTAGGTCCGATCTTCTGTCTTAGCCGATATATCTCTACAATCACAATGCTGTACTAAATAGATTTGTTATATCCATCACATTAGACAGATCTATCGGCTCATCGAGTATTAGGTTATCATATACAATCTCGTGCTGCATCGGTTAGGTTCGATCTACTAGATTGTTGTTGATAATATAAGTCTTGTTAAGCCGATAGGTTCATGCTAATGTCTTATCGGGGTGCTAGCCGATAAGTTATCTGGACGTTGCATCTGTGTTGACAAAAAAATCGAACACACCGGTCTGGGAGATCTGCTTAACTCCTGTGCAGGTCCAAAGATTAATGAGATGCGGGCGTGCCAGTCAGTTTGATCCTGCAACTGACAAGATATGCAAATAATAGACAAAACAACCGATCGGCTGACAAGCCGATGGAGTAGTTCCAGCCGATAGCCGATAATAGCCGATGCCAATACCAGCCGATAGCGATAGGGTTTAAGCAATTGGCTATATGTCCAATGTAGATAATGATATAAAGGCAATCGGCTACTGATAATAAAATATAACAATAATATAGTCCAGTATAAACCAATCGGCTAGCATTGATATGATAGAATAAGCACTGATCTGAAGGTTAGAGCATACATCGGCTGGAGGTCCGATGTCATGTAATCCACAAGATTAGATTAAACAGTGAAGCCTTTGTTGTCATCGGCGAAATCCAACTTATATATATATGCAATCCTTATGAGCCGATGCAACGTCCAGATAATTCACCAGCTGAAACCCCGATGAAACCCTTATTGGCAGTCAGAAAGCAGGCTAGAGATTATGATTCTTAGCACGACTTAGTAGATCAAACTTAACTGATGCTGCACTAAGTATGAAAAGAAACATAATATCTAGACAATCAAGCCGATGACTGATTTTTAGGGTGGTAGATGTCTGAGCTAATCTAATCTAGCAACGCGATTTAGCCGATATCTGCAGAAACCCTAAAACGAGAAGCAGCCGATAGAGCTAAATTGATATGCTAAGACTAGATTAATAGAGACATATGATAAATAGGTAGGCAAATATATCATCCAAACCAGAGCAATCTAAGAGGTCGAATGTACTGATGCAACCTTGAACGACGCCGACGTAGACGATACAATTGCCTGGGCCGACGGAACATTGGACTTACCCCTTCGCCGGAGATCGAACACCGATGCAGCCCCGCGTCAGGTGCCAAGTCCCGCTGGACGATAAAATAAAGTAGAAAAGGTAAAAGGTGGCGATGCGCCGAATTGTATTGAACGTGTGTGTTCGATTACAATGACCCCGGGTGTACATATTTATACCCATAGGGAGATACTAGTTCTTGTCGGACAAGAAAGAAACTAAAAAGGAAAAGATAAAGTCCTTATCGGACACTAAACACATTTTCCTAAAGATAAAAGGAAACTAACAAACTATGCCTAATTAATAGATAACTGTCATGTCGCATCCTTCTTGAACTCGAACTCTTCTAGATAAGCTTCCTTTGATTGATCCGACTCCACCAAGAACACGACATCGTGGCGACTTGACTCCCATCGGCTGATTCTAGAACTTTGAAGCCGATACTGACTCTAAACCGATGGTAACTTTGGGCTTACTAAATTTCACTGTTAACAATACTGTGTATTTTTTAAAACTTTGTTTGAATAAATGCATTATATTTTTAGGGTTTTAGTTGTACTAATCTAGAAGTGCGTATTGTAGATATCGGTAACTACGTAGATGTTCTAGTTTGGAGTCAGTACTTTACCGTTGCATTGGCATACACAAGAAGATATTACATTGTAGGTGTTTATTGCATGAAAGAATAATATGATCTAGTTATTTCGTTGATAGATATATCGAACAAACAAATATTCCAAGTTTACCATGGCCCAGAAAACGTCCGTTACGGGCCAACTAGGGTTGATCTGTCAGAATTTATTGTATCAAAAAGGGGAATTGATAGACTGGCTGAGAGGAGTGTACATTCTATAAAAGGATGGTTAATGAGGGGCTTGAGAGTTGATCCACAGACAAGTGACATAACAATCAATGTTATAGTAAGTCGGGCAACTGAGGGTTTTTATTGGGAACTAATGTCAGTTCAAAACTCTCGAGTGTGGAGATGGTATGTGGAAAATGCATTGCAACGCGGGTGGCCTCTAGCTATGGTTCCGTTTGTTCACCCGAAGGATCCAGGTGTGCAGATGAACATGGATGATGGTGAGGGACCAAGTGCTGAAGTAAACGAGACTTCTGTGGAAGAGGTCAACGCACGAGAGGACGGGGGCGTAGTAGCTCCAGTGGGCATTCAACCAGGTGGAGTGGCCGACGAGGGGGAGACTGTCGGTGCCATTGTGGATGAAATGGAGAGGGAGGATTCTGACAACGAGCGTGTAGAGGAAGGTGATTCGTTAGATGATGAGACGGATATTAATCCAGCAGAATAGGCTAGTGAGGATTTTTCTGGTCTGGTCGTCTCTGAAGAGGATAGTGTGAGATGGGAGTACAAAGAAAATAAGGATATTCAGGGAGCGATTTATACTAGAGCAGAAGATATGAAGGAGGCGGTAAAACATTTTGCAGTGTCACTTCATAGAGAGTTTTGGGTTGCCAAGTCCAACCGGTCGCAATATGAAGTTGGATGTGTTAAGGAAAAAGATGGTTGTCCCTGGAGAGTGCACGCTTATAAGGGAAAATGGAAGGATTATTGGACAGTGTCAGTCGTTACCAAGCATACATGTTTTCTACCTGGTGTTCAGAAATACCACAGGAACATTACATGTGTATTTGTTGCATCTGAGATGTATGCGCATGTCATCGATAATCTCACATATGAACCAAGGTCAATAATCCGACACATCGAAGAGACATACAAGTATACTATTAGCTATGCCAAGGCGTGGAGGGCCAAACAGAAAATAATAGAGATGAGATTTGGAACTTGCGAAGCCTCGTATGACAATTTGCCACGCCTGCTTGGTGTTATCGAAGAAAGAAACCCTGGGAGCTCTTACGCAGTGAAGAAATTCCCCTCAATTGAA